CCTATTCAATTCACAAAGTACCTATTTTATTTGTTTATATAAAAAGTATATTTACAATCATAAAACTAAATGGAAACACAAAGTAGGCAAATGTAAAGATGCTGGAGGCAGGCAGCCCTAACGCATGTTTACGTGCCGCACTGCTTTTTGCTTTGCGCATTGCGTGTAGGCATTTATTTGAAAGATACGGCCGAGTTACAATACTGTATAGATAATATTACCGTGCTCTAGTGTTGTATAACTCAATGCCATAAAGTTTATGATTTGTTGATAACATCGTATTAGCGTCGTGTGCCGACGCGTGCCTGATTGCTTATCTATGAGCAGGTGTAGGTAATACAACACTTTTTATTTTTTTATATTATTATCTTTTATTTCAGCAGACGTATATCAACTTACTGAGCTATAAAATGTGATAACCTAATCTTTACTGTGTAATTATTTTATTTTATCCTGGTGATCCTGAATCCATATCAAGATAAAGTTATCAAACTATTGTGTAAGATGTATACAGTAGGTATATAAGATGAATGAGTGCAGATGGGATGCAAGGGAAAGTTAGTGTACGAAACAAACCCAATGAAAGTCGATCTAACACTGAATTTATTTTAAAGAATTATAAATTGATGTATAGGCAAAAGTACGGAAGTTACATGATTTCGCAAGTGACAAATGCATTGTTTCTGCGTGACCTAAATAAACGAGTAATTGAATTAAAATTACATAAAATATGTGCGGTAACCCGTACATATTGTATTGTCATCGGCCCTTGATACAACTGCAAATTTTCAAGTCAATTGACCGTCTACAAGTTGGTGAAAATTATATTAAAATATAACTTAATGCTGATGTGTTTCGTATGGTGAGTATAGAGAACCGGAGACCCTTTTACTGGTTACAAGGCATTTCATCTAAGTCCTCACGGGTGACAACGCATCTGCATTTTAATTCGTAATCGAGGACAGATGTAGATGTCTATGGGCCACAGCAACCACTTACCATCAGGTGGACTGTGTGCTCGTTTGTCACCCTATCCTATAAAAAAAAATTCCGTTACATAGAAAGATAGATACACGCGAAGCTAATAAAAACGTATGAAAAATGAATGTTCGTTTGTCGCGTATGTCATTTATTCGTACGATTTCGCTGAAATTTTGATGAGTTGATGTTTGCGCCTGCGAATGTTTTTTCACGCTAGTATTCTGTGAGAGCGTGGTTCTTCCCAGGACTAGCCGACCCATTCTTTCTACATCCGTAACATATTTGCAGAATGGCTCTGTCACATCAAAAATGTTTTGTGTAGTTTTACAAGTAATTGTATAATAAGTAACTTAAGCCGTTATTTTTTATTTTATAATACATACAACAAACTACAGTCATTTTCCTATAGAAATAAATACGTCATACGTTGAAATCGAATGATGTATGACGTGGAAATTGCGTTGACAGAAAAGGCACTTTTACAAATTAAGATTACTTTTCCGAACCGAGTCTGTCGTAGGAACTGATTTTTTTTTATAAAGCTGAAGTGACAAACGAACCCACACTCCACCTGGTTGCAAGTAGCTTCTGCAACCCATCGACACCAGCAACCAACATCAAACAAATAAGGCTACAGTTGAGTTATCACCTCTCAGGACTAAGATGTAAGGTCTCACACCCTGTAACTTTGATGCCTCCCTACACCCTTCAGACTGCTGTTTGGCGCCAGAAACAGGTAAGAATGTAATCTAGACGGACAGCTAGGCAGAAAGTAGTCCTCACCTAGGATGCCCAACTGATGACTGTGTAGGCATTCTGCATTTATATCAGATTGATATGCACAAAACGTCTCCGAGTACCGGAACAAACTTGTGTCTGAAGTCGAGTCTTTACTGAAAAAAGTCTCGGATTGGGGGCGACTAAACCTAGTCCAGTTTAACCCTCAGAAGACACAAGTTTGCGGGTTAATCGCTAAAAGGAACCCCTTTGTGGTATCTCCTCAGTTTCAAGGTACTCCCCTTGTTGCCTCAGCCGGTATCGGAATCCCCGGCGTCGACATATCGAGTGACGGGCAGTTTCGTGGTCACTTGGAAGAGAAGGGCAAATTGGCTTCTAAAAATGCAGGTTTGGCCGCACATGAAATACTGTTCCCATCTCTGGGCTGGGGCTCCCCAGTACCAGCTCCTTCCACTTGACCGCATCGAATCGTTTCGTCGACCGAGTGCTTTACGATCGGCTTGATTCACTGGCGCTGCGAAGAGATTTTTTATTTTTTTTGCGTATTTTATCACATCTATCAAGGGGACTGCTCTGAGAAATTGTTCGGATTAATCCCAGCCGCCAAATTTCATGAACGCACTACGCGGCAAACCTTCCGATACATTCCACACCATCTGAATACTTGGCGTTCCACCACTGTACGTTTCACTACGATTTTTCGTCCGCATGCGACCTCTCTGTGGAATAATTTACCACCGGCGATTTTTACGGACCGATGCGACCTGGGGACCTTCAAGAAAAGAGCTTACTCCTTTCTAAAGGGCCGGCAAAGCCCCTGTAATTCACCTGGTGTTGCGGTTGTTCATGGGCTGCGGTAGTCACTTAACATCATGCAAACCGTATGCTCGTTTGCCTTCTCTTTTATTAAATTAAAAAAAAAAAACTTAAAAACCGAATCTATGTGGCCCTGGCACAATCGGTGCTCACCTATTGTATCTCGATTTGGGGAGGAGCAGATAAAAATCGCTTCCACGCACTCGAAGAAGCTTAGAGATCGCTTATCAAAGTCATCTACTCCAAGCCTTATCGTTTTCCCACTGATATATATAGAATGAGTGGCCCACTCACAGTTCGAATAGTCTATATTCTGAATCTCATCTCAACGTGTCACAAATCTCTGTCTTATCAACCTGAGTCATAAGAGAAAGAAGGATGTCGTTGCCCCCGTCACCGCTGCACGTATTTCTTTCGCCAGAAGACAATATAGTCAGTCTGCTTATTATACAACAAAGTAAATAATATACTTAAATTATACCCCGTGTTATCTTATACTTGCAGGAAAACTTTAATAGAATGGTTGGACTCACTTAGTTATGAAGATATTGAAAAACTTTTCAGAAGAATTAGTAAAAATTTCGGTTAAATTTAATGTCGGTACCTGTATGCGGAATACTCATACCAAGGATTCATTCACACACCGAGTGCACACATACATGTACACACCCACACCTATCCAAAACGCACACACACACACACGCGCGCGTACGCACGCACGTATTCACGCACGCACGCACGCACGCACGCACTCACGCACGCACGCACGCACGCACACACGCACGCACGCACGCACACCCGCACGCACGCACGCACGCACGCTCGCACGCACGCAAGCACGCACGCACGCACGCACGCTAGCATGCACGCACACACGCACGCACGCAGGCACGCACGCTCGCACGTACGCACGCATGCACGCACGCACGTACGCACGCACGCACGCACGCACGCACACACGCACGCACGCACGATCGTACGCACGCACGCACGCACGCACTCACGCACGCACACACACACACACACACACATACTCACATACATGATTACATGAACATAGTTCATCGCCACTAGAGCTGCAATTTAAATTTAAATTAAACCAAAAATGTTAAAGTTAAATGTTAAAAAAAATGTTAATCATTCTAACCTACCAGATATAATATAGTTTACTTAGTCTTATTTAGCCAACCGTAAGGGAAGTAGCGAGTTATTCAAAACACAAGTGTCTATGACTAATTAAAGAGTTTTTAAAAAAAAATGTATAGGAGCTTTGTAATAGGACTTTTGAAAATAAAGCAATTTTTATTTATTTATTTATTCCGCGAAATCATTGAAATAATATGTATTACGTACAAGAACAGACACCATGAACAAATGTGTGCGGCAGTACGGGACGTTGAATTTGGTTGAATTGGATTATGGCACAGACTAAGTAAGTAGGTAACTCATGTTGCAAACAATCAAGCTTCTGCGTTACTTTAGGACGCAGCACTATATACAAAACAAAATTCAATGCGCGAAGTAAATTTTAATAGTAACAAAATATAAGTAAATCTAATAAGTATAATCGGAAAACTGTTACAGAAATTGTATGTTACAAAATGTATACACATAATATAGCATTTGTTACGCAACTTTTCGTAAGAATATTTTAATTTAAATTTGATATAATTAATAAGTAAATTTATTAAATTTTTTAAAATAAAGTATAAGATTACTTTATATAGTAACTATTTAATTTATGAAAATAATTTCAAGGCATTTTGCGCGTTTTTTACCTGTATTATAATTTTGAAATGCTGAAGTTTCGAATGTCAGTATGAAAAATAATCGCAACTTAATCCACAAAACTATTTGGAGTGTGGAGTGTCTATGTTCAGGGAGGAGATTTCTCACCTAAACTCACGCAAACTCGCCAAGGACATTAATCATTTTGCAATCCCAATATAAATTTAATCCCTTGATATAGTAAATTGGTCATATTAAACAGATTTAACAAATTTACGTCTTGTAAACACAAAGTCAAAGGCGAACTTTCTACACTTAACTACGGCCCTTTAGTTTGGGGGGAAATGAGAAAAGAAGGAATAAAAACATTCGAAATAACAATCTAATACTTTTATACTTACAATCTAATACTTAACACTAAGTACGGCGGCCAAAAGTCCTTAAGTTAACTTTTTGCGCTAAATTTTAAAAAGTCACAGCAATCGTGTTTTTGTATCATCCGTTGACTGGAAAAAGCACGTAAATCTCCGACGCTTAATTTAGACGCAACAGCCGACTGTACCATATAACTTATGTTTTACTAACACATCGAGCGGCGACAAAAACCACATAAATTGACCTCAGTTTAAAAATACTACACGTCAACTCTTAAGCTGACTGACTTAAGTGGTTTCTTTATTAGTTGTTACTTGTTCCTGTATGATGGTGGTCGTGTATGTTAAGTTAACTGTATCAAAATGGCCAGAAAATTGGTGAATCTCGCCATAAACAATGACAGTGCAGCAATGAATGAGAATACAGGTATGTTGTGAACTTCTTTTTCTGCTCTTATACCAGTAATTACTGTCGGCGTAAAAGTTTTTTGATGTGAAAGTTAGTTTATCATTTTATTACAATGGGTAAATATTCAAAACTGTTTAATAGTGTTAGTTGAAATAACCACACCTTTTTTAGAGTCTTTTTTTATATTTAAAAATATCACAATTTCAAATCTTTTACCAGTTTTTAATATTGTTTTTTTTTACAGGTGGCGAAGACCCATTCAATAATCCACAACCAAGTACACCTGGAACCCAAAATCAAACTACTTTTGATGAAACAGTAAGTGATTTTTCTAGTGAAGACTCTGTGGGCGATCCTAACTACTCTCCAGGCAGTCCTAGCTTACTTAAAGAACATGAAGAAATGGAAATTGCTGTTCCTAATGCATCAGTGGACATACATATAACGCCAGACAATGCGACACCTGAAACAAATGTTTCAGTAAAACAAAACCCATCAGTGTCATGTAGCAAAAAGAAGCAAGAAAATAAATTAAATAGAAATCTTGGCCAATCTTATGTGACAGCTTTGGGGAAAACTATTGATAAACGTCAAATGAAGAATCACCTAACTGTCGGAATAAGTGCCGACAGAAAAAAAGTGATGAGCAGCGCGCTTTGATACACAAGAAGGTTTGGAATCTTGGGTCTTACGATTTACAGATCACCATTTATTTCATCTTTGATCCGAGATCCAAGAGAAAAAAAACCAAACGTCTTCGAGTCGAAGTCATGATAAACAAAAATGTAGACAGTACACTTAAAAGTATAATTTCAACGTCAATAGTGAAAAAATATCGGTGTGTCAATTTTCTTTCAAAACCCTATCAATAAATGATAATTTTGTTAAACTAATCGGGTTGAAGAAACGTAGCAGCTAACTACGACCGATCACACCAACCCCAGCTTTGCAGTCATCCGTAGCCTTTTACAAAAGACAAATGTGGACCTTTAATCTTACTGTACATGACAACGGAACTGGAATGTCAACGCACTATATGTGGCATGAGGGAATTTCGGGTTGAGGAGTTAATCAAATAGCCTCTTGTATTTAAAAGAACTTCCTGAAGAAGCTTCAGATAATAATAAATAATTTCGAAATATACTAAATTTAATGTGTAACTAGTTCGTGATTATGTAATAAAAAACAATGAAAAATAAAAACCATACTACCTACATTTTTTCCATTTGAATACCAACACTACCACTACACTACACTACAATCACCAATCGAATATAACCCCCTCTTGTAAAATTTTTGCATGTAAAAAGATTTGACTTCCGAGTCTAGCTTACAATCTAGACCCAATACTTAAAACTTAATTGACTCGCGGTAATCCGACCAAAGTTTTGCAAGGCGGAGTCGGATTATTGAATTTGTCGGACTTATATACTATAGTCTAGTCCGTACGTAGTCTAGTCCGGAACTTTTTTGAAAAAAAAATCTTATAATCCGACGTATTAAATATCAAATATAAAAAAATAAAAAATTAAAATGTCATATGATGCACTTTAGGCCGCACTATAGTCACATTTGAACTGACAATACGCGTAAAGTACTAGATTCGTGGTGGCGCGAACTAATTGCAGCCTGTTTGTCCACGTATTCGCGAAGGACGCCACTCCCCGTGGCCGATGCATAGAATCTACCTACAAGTTAAATACATGTCGGATTACAAGAGGGTTGGATTAGCCAGGGGCCGGATCACCGAGGGTCCACTGTAACTATCTAATACTTTTGTAGTTACTGGTACCGGTACTACCAGAAAATATTGTCGGTATACTGCACTTTTTTAAAGTGGTGCATTTCTCATGTCTAATAAAACAGTCGTCTGTAAAATGTTTTGAACAAAAATGATCATTTTGTTTCGGACGCCAATTCACAATATTTATGCTTTTAAGCCATAATTTTAGCCTAGGTTTTTTGGAAACCTATTAATTATTAAACATTTGGTAATAATCTGTTGTCGACGACTTTGGTTGTTAACAGATATGGGTACGAAAAAAACAACGATAAGTAGTATAGACAAAGAACTCGACAACGCTATTGGATTTTATTGTTTATCAAAACTCATTAACTCTTAAAAGTCCGAGCTCTCCATTTGGATCCTTAAATGTCTCCTTGTAGACCGCGCCAAAGAGTATGCTTATATTTAGAGGGACGCTTTAGAACCAAAGAGTATATGATCACTAAGTTTACTCGAAACCATAGATAAGAGTGCTCAGGACGATTCTTTTTTAAATGTTATTTATAAGAATATAATGGAGAAGATAACAAGGTTACAATATTAGACTTTTAAGTACGTAGGTATAAAGTCTAGACCAAACACATAATTCTAGTTTTTATTTCACATCGCTCGGTGCACTATTACCGAAGTTAAAAGCGTGGAAAGTTTACGTACATTTTTAAAATCTCGCCCGTGCTCGCGAGTAGCGCGTGACGTCATTGATTCCATGCGGCCGCGCCGCCGTACCGTTCCAGCGCGCCGACCATACGTTTGTAGTAACATTTGACGGGTGAGTTGTTTGCCCTGGTGCGTTCTGGTGTTTTTAAGTATTTAATGATGGAAGCAGGGTATCAAAAAGGTCAATCTGACAACCTTCCAATAGTCCGTGACATGATGGTGGCAGAATATTTTCTAAGAAACAAAGATTTTGTCGCGGCTGAAATACGATAAGATAAGATAATATTTTTATAACATAGGTACTCATTATTACATTAATACTTCTGGGTTTCATTTGCTAATGATAAGAATAGGTATAACAAAAATACATAAACATTCCTTACCTACCTACTTACTATCTACCTCTAACTAGTTTTGTTTTCTCTTCTTAAGTGCACCCTGACCTATTTGTGGTTTTTATGGTTCAAAAAATTTCCTGTTGTTTATAAAGAAATTTACTACAAATATACCTTCGGTGTATAAAAAATAAAAATATGATTTTATCTAAAAATAAGATGTTTTCAATATTAATAGAAAAAGGGTCGCATTATTATTATGATTAAAAGCGTAGTTATATATTCTTTAGGCAATGGGATCAATGTCAATATTATCATCTAGAGTAGTAACAGGATCGACAAAATATCTATGCTCAATTTCTTGTGAAGTTGTGGAAATCGCATGTGCAACTGTTTCTGACCTACATTTGGCATTTAGTTTTGATAGTAAACATCTTTGTGGTTTTTCTGTTCACCGATTTTGACAAGCAAACTTGTGAGGCAAAACATCTTTTTAAGTTTGAGGGGACCACCAACTAGTTTGTACTTCACGTAGTTTTCCATATCGTTTTCGACCTAGAACCAAATACAAACTTATTTAAAGTCTATAAAAAAATAAGGGACCTCGTAATTTGTATTATATCAATATTTAAAATATGTACCAACTATGTAATACATAAAATATGACAACACGAAAAAAAATTTAAGCGCTCCACTTCATAATCAAACTTCTTCCATTATTTGCGGCCCGCAAAGTATGCAGGTTGAACAGCTCTGCGATGTGTTTAGTTTTTGCTCGAAATATCGTAAAAATATAAAAACGTTTGTTAACATATGTTCCATATTTTAACCTTTATATGCATTACTTATAAACAATTATTTGCTGCAAACATAGGTTGCAAACATCTTAACTTACGAACTCACGACAGGTCATTGACTTATCTACATTACATAGGTAAGTACTTTACCCAAATTTGGAAGTTTATTTACACTGAAGTAGTTTTAGTTAAATATGTAGGTATTAGGTATTGTTTCTTCTTGAAATTATAATGATCATTAAGCGTGGAAAGGTTCAATTCGAGTTACTTGAATCGTTAGTTACACTGCAACTCGAGTAGGTACCTACACGCCTAATAGAAAGCATTTACTGGCAATAACCAAGAGCTATCATGTGAAGGTTATTATTATTTGAATACTTACATCGAAATGATCCTCACAACAATATGCTAACGTGTTTGGTCCTAAAGGATGTGCTCTTCTCATAGCATTTTTCCATTTTTTTCTGATGGTAGAGTTTCTAAGCACATTAAAAAACAACTTTTCAGGTGTTTTTGTGGCCATATTTTTGCATTGAGGCACAGCACATTATTTAATAAATGGTGTCATGCTCATGTTCTATAATGTTTCTTGTTAAAAATAGATAGCAAGTAGATCCGCGCGTGATGGGCACATTTGAGTAGGTAAATGTTTTGATTTTCTAAGTGCTCGCCGGGTCGCTCGCACGAAGATGGAAGTCGTGACGTCATCAACGATGTCGCTCTCGGCCCGCGGCTTAGACCGAAAATGTTAACTTTGCGCCTTTATATCTTGGTCAGTTTTGAAGATAGAAAAAAATTAAGAACACAGTTATTCTCGTAATTTTTTGTAGAATTTTTTTGGCATATAAAACAAAAAATGGTTATCTTCTCCATTCTTAAAGAATGTAATTCTTAAATTCTTAAAGAATTATATTCTTACAAATAACATTTAAAAATAATTATATGAAAAGAATTATATTATTATATAGTTCACATATAAACTTAAAAACTTGGTAATATTAAGTTGCTAAAAGACACGCTATACTTAAAAAATTATATGCGTGTTATGATATTCAGTCTAACTCGAACTTCGTTAAGTCGAAATCCTCAGTAAGTCGAAAAAAATTGTCATTCCCTTTCGCTGAAACCGCTAAATACGCGGTATCTCGAATTATTAGACTTTGCACATATTTCCCTACGAAATATTGATAATATATATTTATACTCTATAACTCGAATTTCAAAAAGGAGACTCCGTAAGTCGTAGTTAGTAAACAATAATGACGTCTTACTTGGAATTCCCCGAAATAATAGCAATAAAATCCGGGTTCTTAATCGTAAAGTAGCTGCCGCGTTACCTGCCGAGCGTCCGCCGAGCTCGGCAGGTGACGCGGCATCTATGCGTATCTCGAAATTTTCAACTATAACGCCCGGTAGTCAAACATGAAACGTCCTATAACCAAAAAAAAAAAAAATTCAAACAAAAGTTTTGGAAAATAAACTATCTTCAAAAAAAACAAATTGATTCATCAGAGATAAAACTTCAAAAAAATACTAACGCTTTTCCCTTCCTTGTGATTTTATTCTGAATAAGTGATCCTAAACCTCATAAAAAAATTTAATCGGAAATTTCGTGCAATGTTAAATTCTATTTTTACTGTACTATTTCACTAAACTTTTTTTTTTGTCAACAACGTCTTACAATCGTCGTTTCTCTGGCGCTCACGTGACCTTCATACAAATAATTCGATATATTAATGGTTAATAATTTTTATTTTTGGATAAGAACATGGTAATGACTCTGAGTTATATTTACCTTCATTTAAAAAATTGTCTTTGGCCAAACCTACTATACTCTTTGGCTTGACCATAGGTCTGACTAATATGTCCATAGACTGACGGATCATGTCGATGAGTAAAACGTTTATTTTATATTTAGCAAATTAGATATCCATTTTTAATTAATTAGCAGTGAAATACAGCAGGAAACCTTAAAAAATAATGAATACTATTACTAGTTAGTAGAAACGTGTGCACGTTAGCTTGTAGCACAGACAATTAAATATTTTATAACATTTTTCTTTTACTATAATTCTAATAACAAAA